AATTCAAATTAACCCTTAGTTGTATTAAAATTATAAATTAAATCATTTTAACATGATTCGATAGGACAAATTAATCAAATTTTCAGACAGAATATATTCATCAAGCAAAAAAACAACAACAACAAGAGCTTAACTTGAAATAAACGACTCTTATATTAGTACAAAAAAAAATCTATATTGCCTGAAAGATAATAAAGATTTTTAAAAGTTTTAACATACTTCTATGTTACTACTAGAGGGCGGTAGCTACCAAACACTGAAAAAACAACAACAAATTATCATTATATTTATGATATATTATATACAGAAAAAATCAAACGGACTAAAAGAAATTAAAAGGTAATAACTGAAGCATTGTGGTTAATTTAGGTTGGGGATGAAATAAAAATTGAATGTCAGGCCTAAAAACTGACCTCCTATGAAATGTTTAATCAGGAGAAATTTCGCAACTTTGCTTTGTTGATATGCACAAGGCAAATTGTACCGAAAATACAAGTTTTTATATACGTCACATCATAAAGAGAAACTTGTTTGATGATTAAAAAATATATACATGCTAACTGAGATGATATCTTGTGATCTAAGAAAACTGAAAAATATCTGTAATATTTTTGGAAACTAATTTAGCTTATTACAGGTATATATTATCTAAAATTAAATATTGTAGCTGTAACACTAAAAGTTATCGTAAAGGTATAGTAAGATATATTAATCCTGTTATTAAGTAGAGCTGAAAAACAATAAAGGTGCTTTATTGTTTTTAGGTTCAAACTTCAGTGAAACTCAAAATCAGTTTAATGTGTACTAAACCATGATCGCATAGATATTTAACTTTGGATAAAATATTAACGTTTTTATGGACTGCTTCTACTTTAGTTGTTGAGATGGACTTTTAAGCAACAGTAACCCGAATATGGCTGTAGTAAAGTAATTCGAAACGTTGTTAACCTAGATTAACGTTGTTAATCAAGACAGATGCCGGCCATACAAGTTTCCAGTCCTATAAAAATATCACTGTTAGATTGTTAGAAATTATCATTAAACAATGAAAATAGTTATTACCAACCATTACGAAAACGTGTTTGACCAGCGTATCTTGCTACATGCGGTTGACCCACAAAAGTCTTGGAGGTTAGTTTGTCGTATGATAACGTACAGAAAGTCGCTTTTGTAAACGTACGAGTTGAAGTTAGGGATGTATATTTGTCTATAAACACATAAAATACGATGCTCTAAAATCATTGTTGTAAACGGTAGTTCTCAATGAATTTCGCATTTAATATAACAGAGTTTTCATACAATATTAAGAGTTTTACTGAACTTTAATTTGTTTCCTTTTAAATCCTTCCAGCATTTTAAAGTCAGCTTTTCATGATAAATTGTTCAGTAAGAAATTTATTACATGATGTAAGGTCTGTTAAAAGCATATTTTTTAGAAAAACAAAACAAAATTACAGCCAATCATGCATGAAAACGTCAAGAGAAAACTAAGATTATTATTTGTTGCTAAAATTTGAATAACCTTATCGGGTTCTTGAAGATAGCAACAAATGTTCTATATTTTATATTTCTTTTAAAGTTCTGTTAATGTTTTCATTATTATATTTTTTACAATTTACTAGTTTGGCTGGAAGTATAGAACAGTAGTAGTAGTACCATGTATATTCCAAAAGATTCGCTCAGATCAGTTTTTATATTGCTCTATTTAGGCCAAAGTTTATTATGAGGAAACACAGAATTTTCTTCTGTCTAACGAATTTTAGCCAAACTCAATTGACGGAAAATCATTTCCTATCTGTAAGAGATAAGTCGTTATAGGATTCTACATTTTTTTGCAAGAAATAAATATTTTTTTTAATTATTGTTAATAATTTTAACAACATTTTTTTTTTCAAATAAGACTAATTACTTATTCAGTGATAAAATTATATGAAATAATAATAAAAATGTTTGTGCTAGGCCTGGGCTAGGAAAACAATACTACGTGAAAATTTAAAGAACTACATCATAATAGTCTTGCTTTCTTGTAATATTTATTCAGACGTTTTTATTTATTTTTTGCTATCTCCTTACTGGTTGTTTTGTGCCATAATTTCCAAGGGAAAACCATTTAGTTCACTTTAGTAAATTAAATTATAAAAAAATTGAATAATGCTTGTGAACTGCAACAGATGGCACTAGAGCAAGTATGGAAAAATAAAAGTATTGTTTATTATTAAAAATAAATATGAGGCCAGATCTATCATTCGTTTCACCAGTTATCACTGAGTTATACCAGTTTCATGGATTTCCACCCCTCATCAGTAATCCTGGAAAAGGGCATAGAGCAAATCATTAGAACAAAACTAAGCTTCATGTAGTTACTTCACGTTTCCATTTTCATACAAGTTTTAGCTTAATTTAGAATTTCCACTTGTAACACAAGTAGAAATAAACGTGTAAGTTACTTCAGAATTTTTATTTGCCTCCGTGCATTATATACATGAACATTACAACGATATTTTTATTTGCCTCCGTGCATTATATACATGAACATTACAACGATAGGATGATAAATGATTCCATATCTAACGTATGAATATTAACGCTGCTGAATTCACCTTACCTTGAATACAATGAAGTCAAATAATACTATGAACGTGACCGACATTTGTATGATTTAAAAGAAATAATGGCATGAAAAGAAGTTTTATCGGTTATAATAACGCATAAAAATGATATTTGAATCGTTTCAATTTTGATGAAAAAAAAACATTTTGAAGTATGTCTTCTTAAACCCGTGAATTGAAAAATAATTTCGCTATTATATACGTATATGTGTAGCAAATAAACACAATCTAAAATCCTAAAAATATAATTACATCGGAAGTAACCAAAATCCATAAACATCAGTAGAACTAATTACGCAGACGATTCTAGAATGGTGTAGTAAGGTCTTAAGGTAATATTTGACAGAACTGTAAGGTATTGAAGCCAACACCCAAAATAAACAGTCACTCGGTTTTAAAAGGTCACAGTTGTTGATCAGAAAAAAAAAAACAACAGAAAACAACACTTATTCAAATATTTTGGGACTTAATATCAGATTAATCATTCGATTTAATCTCGGATTTATCATTCGATTTAATCTCGGATTAAACATTCGGTTTTCTTTCCAGTTTTTCTCGCAGTCAGTCTAAGAATAGTTTTGTTCATATGTGTTAATGTGAATAGGTCTTAATAATAACTTTGACAATTACACTGGACCACAATCTACTTTTACTGTACCTTTATATATTTAGCAAAAGTTTAGTCTAAAATATATAATGTTGAAAAAAAATATGATATTAATAAAAAAAAATTTTATTCCTCTGAAACGAAGTAATTAACTTTGTTTTTTATAATATAAAAACAAAATATGATTAAGGTGATATTTCAAGGCGTGAACACCAAGTTATTTTGATGTACCTAGAAGACAGTATTTACCTTTTGTGGATTTATGTGTTTATATCTGTGAGAATTCAAGCTGTAGTTAATGCAATGGAAATAAATAAAACTAAAGCTTTGCAGTATGTGATTGAAATTAATATTACTTTAGAAGAACGATGTCCCAGGTCTTGTAATGCTCTTGGAACTGCTTCTTCTATGATTCTGATTGCCATAATTATGCACTATTACCTACATAGCAACGTTGCGGTCAATCTTAGGTCGCACGTCTTGACAACCTTTCTATTCAATGACCCATTGCACGAGAAAGCCAGCTTCCAATGTCACGTGTAAGCAGACCAAAAGTACAAAAATCCGTTGGAGCTGAACTAGGAAACTTGACAGGTATATGGTCGAATGAATATGCTGTGATTCCAGTATTTTTGATCATTTTCTTTTCATAAAACAACTGTATATTTCGAGATGTGATGGAAACTTATGGAAATTTGACTTCTGAGAATTCGTCAGTTTTAAATTATTTTTTATTTTATTTTTAACAGAACCCAGAGGTATGCCCAGCCTTATCATAGTGTCTTTATGAGACTGAAATCCTTCTTTATCGGAAAAGGATGTTGCTACAGGTTGGCTTGGGGTATGGTTGCAGAACCCAGAGGTATGTCCAGCCTTATCATAGTGTCTTTATGAGACTGAAATCTTCTTTAGGTTGGCTTGTGGTATGATTGCAGAACTCAGAGGTATGTCCAGCCTTATCATAGTGTCTTTATGAGACTGAAATCCTTCTTTAGCGGAAGAGGGCATTGCTACAGGTTGGCTTGGAGTATGATTGCAGAACCCAATGCTGTTCTGGATGCACTGCTGGAAGAGATTTCCCTTCTTTAAAACGTTGTTCCCTTTGTTTTTTCATCGCTCGAGAAGTCTAAACACGATGCCTATGCCGCCATGGCTCGTATCTGCAGCGACACTACACTGCAGTAGCATATACAATTTGTTCAGATAAAGCGCTCTTCATTCTTTTAATAAAGAATAATTTTGTTTTCAGATTTCAGAATGTCTACCGTGGAGTAACGAAAAAAAGTGTTTTATTTTCATTTAAGACACACAAATATATATATACAATTAGATATTTAAGATTTTCACTTATACTACACGAGTTTAATTATTTTTACCCGACTAGCAACAAAATCTACACTTGTGTCAGTATATTTAATTTTCATTCTGTACAAACTATATGTAATGATGTGGTATCAGTCCGTTTATAATTTAAAAAACTTTGTAACGGTAAGATGTCAGTCTATTCGTCATGTGGATAAATTATATAACGATCGGGAGTTGTTTCGTTTGTCATGTGAATAGACGATCTAACTTCTCCAATTATCAAGCTTTATTAACATATGACTTTTTGTCTTTGGCATTTGTCTTTATTCAGTAATTTTTCCCTTTACGATTTCAAGCAATAGCGTAATTCATTTCAGCTTTGTATTTCCTGTAAAAAAAAGTGTAAATATTTAGCTTAAACTAAAGTTTTCTAAAATATACTTATTTGGTAACACTCACAGTAAGATAATCTTATTCATTTACACGTGTTCAATGCAGTAAGGCTGATTTGTAGAAATCTTTGGCCCAAAATCAACATGTGATGTAGTAGGAGCATCAAAGTGTTTTCTAAAGTCAATAAACACGTCGTCAGAAAAACTTATTGAACTACTAATCGAGCCTTGGGAACTGAGTTGTGAGCAATGAGAACTCATACCACTTGTTGAGTCACTTAGAGAGTTGCTACGAAACCACAGTTTTCCTTTTCCTGTGCTGTTAAGACTTTTAGTACCTTGGTGTTCCGACTCACTAGAAGAACTAGGATGCCTTGCAGTGCCATCTTTTGACCAATAAGCACGAGGCAAACTGTAGCGTGAGTGAAAAGGGAATATATCTTTTGAATTTCTTGGAAGAGTTCGAGAACCATGTACAAGTATTTGGACTTTTTGTCCACCAATGTATTGAACTTCTTCGGGATTAAGATAAACAGAGGAAGATCTCATCGATTCATTCTTAGAAGTTGAATAACCTTCACTATATTCCGAGTGTTGTAAAGTTATATAATTTGTTGGTGTTTCCTGCAACATTTTTGGGGTCAGATAATGAACTCTGTTCTCATTTGGTGTTTTTGGCCTTTCGTATATACTAGTTGCTCCTGATAAACCAGGGATTAGGCTTCGACCAGGAGTATCTCTCGGAGTCGGCTGAGAATTAAAATTCTGTGAATTCACTTGCTGCCTTAAAAAATTTTCTTCTGTCTCCAAGTTTGCCAAACGATCTCTTAATAGATTTAGAGAATTATTTCTTTCGGTCTCGGTTTCTTCTTCTAAACAGAAATGCCTGCTGGGAGTTTGTTCATTTTTTGTTAGAAACTTCTTTAAAGATGTATCCTTCTTCTTCTTTTCGTGACTAACATTATCATCTAAAGATGTTTTACCTAAAAGTTTTTCTTTCAATTTTTTGGTTTTACATTTGAAAATAGATTTTGGGCAACAGAAAAATACAACAGCAACTACTACAGCCGAAGTGGAAGTAGATACAGTTGTTGCTATAGCAACTTCTGTTACTGGGAAAATTTTCTCTTTTGGAGTGACTACCTCTTTACAAGAAGTAGATATAGAGTTCATGTTTTCTTTATATAAGCTTTGGTGCACTAAAGGAGAGACTATATCTGGAAGAATTTTGTCTGTTTCATCTACTAACTTTGAATTTATTGCTTGCACACAAAAGTCATATCCGGTTGAAGGAGAGAGATCTGTGACCGTATATTCGAAGCTTCGATTGCTTTGGACTTCATTTGTATCCACAGAGATTTCCGTTTCTGTAATATTAAAACTAGCAAACTTTCGAACACGTATAATCCATTTAAGAGAGTCGGAAGAATCATTTAAGGAATAGTTCTGTATTACAGACCTCTCGGTTGTCGACGCTGTCACTATCTTCAACGTTATAGATATAGATTTGGGATTTATATTAATATCAGTAAGAATAGTTTTTATGTGAAAAGTCTTGGGTTTAACGTCTTCCGAAGTTTCTACACTTACAGTTGACGTATGGGACGTTATTATGTGGCTAATTGTCTTGATAGCCTGACATTTTTCCGGCTGTATCAAGAAACGACTGTTTCTAGCAAAAGAAATGCAGATAACATATGTCGTATTGGGGACCAGCTTAGTTATTTTGCTTACATAAGTCACATAAGTTGATTCCGTATGTAATTTTGAAGGATCTTTTGCAACATAAGAGATAATTTGTTCCTCAGGATTAATCGTCATTTTGTAAGGACTGTCGTTAGACGTTCTGAATAAGACCTTCCATTTTTCTGTGTCCTTTTCTGCTGTCTTTACTTTCCAAGAGACAGTTATGGAGTTTTGGGTACTAGACAGAGACAACAGTTCAAAGTCATCATAGGCATCGGACGTATAGCCAACGTTCATAGTCTCATTTTTATCCTCACACAAGGTTTCATTTGTCAATTGTAACAAAAATTGACCTTTGACACTTGGCGGAGAGTTACAGGTTGGTAGACGAATGACAGTGTTATTTCTGTTAGCCCACTCGCGAAGCCAGATGACGTCACAGTCACATCGAAGAGGATTTCCTGTAAGAAATTAGAATATATATATATAAAACACGTTCTTTTGTAAATAATCTTTCAACATTTTTATATATTTGACATTACTATATAAAAGTCAAATATTTTAATTTAAAACAATTTTATTAAATCTATGTCAAGGGAAACCTACCGTTTAAAAACAAATGCGAAATGCGTTTTTTTTTTTCACCGACATAAGTTTTATGATTATTTAAATTAAACAAGGCTGTCGCGGTACGTTCCTGTGATGTGAACGCATATTTTTACCATCATTTTTTTTAGTATTACATCACCCCTATATTTACATATTTCAAACGTCTTTTCCTGCTTTAGTTTATAACGATACAAAGATCAGAGAATTGTGAACACATACATTTGAGAAGCAAATATCCTACCAATAAAATAAATTCTGTTAAGTCCAGTATTGGTTTCTTATAATATTTTGGAGCTGAATTCTATTTCGCGAAATTTTCCAGTCAGGTGAATACTATATATAAAGTTTTTTGTTTGTTTTAGTGCAAAGTTACACAATTGGCTGTATCCAATCTATCCACAGCAGGGAATCGAAATCCTAATTATCAGCGTTGTAATTCTGTAGACTTACCACTGACCCACCGAGGACCTATCTAAACATACAGATTTTAATAGAACAGCATTTTTCCCTATTATAAATTTATCTAATTATATGCATATTAAATTTACAAGACAAGTTAACACCAAATATTTCAACGTAATTTTCCGTATGTTTTGTTTGTTTGCAGTTAAGCCAAAGGTGCACAAAGGGCTATCTGTGCTCTGCTCACCACGGGCATCGAAACCCGGTTTCTAGCGTTGTAATCCCGCAGACATCCCGCTGTGTCACTGGCGGGGGGGGGGGACACGAAGCTAGGATGTCACAATCACTTTATACGGTGTCTTAGCCAGCATGATGAGACCTGGTATTACGCGAAAGTACTCGTTGGCACCGAATGTAGCAAATGTAGCGTCGTTAACATATACAATATATTATTATTTGCCTTCACTCACAAGTCCTTAGAACTTATAAATAAGTTAATGAAACAGAGAACCTGATCGCGAGAGATCTACTGTACTGGACCCTAAGAAGTAGGAGACCTTGGCCTACTCTATATGGAGCTAGTTCTAGTTACACAAGACATGCGTCGTTTTCTGGACTAAGCCGTTGTTTTTATTAGATAATACTGAAACCTGTCACGATCTTCTTTTCTTCTGATGGAGTACTCTAAAATGCAAAAACAACAACAGAATCTGAAATGCCACAGTTCTAACGACGCAGGTCATGACTAAAGCTGTTTTTATTCTATTATTGAAACTGATCCAGTAATGCGTGTATTTAGAACGCTTCCTTGTTCTATGATCATGTAGTATCCATAGATAGATCTCCAGAAGAACTTGTTTTCTGCAGCAGGTTATTCCTCGTATATTATACAAACAAGTTGAAATCTACAATAAGAACGAATTCTCTTCTCAACTGCCATGTTGATTTCCAGTTGTCAAACTTGTGTCGTTAGTTACACGTACTTTGCACTGGAGATCAACCTTAACATGCCGGAGAGCTTTTCTACTTGTAATAAATATCAAGACTTTGATTTAATACGACGATCTATTCGTATATAAAAACATAAAATCGCGAGGAATTATTCTCATTTG